ATCTTTAAGTATAATAAACCAATATTTTGATGACTTAATATTGAAGGATCAAGATGTTTTGAAAGATGAAAATTGTTGGAATAAAGTATTAGGATGTATTCCTAATGAAGGTGAATATATTAATTAGCAACCATTGAGGATGAAAAGAAAATGAAAATACTTTGATATTAAAATTTTTTTGTTAAATATAGAAATAAAAAACACTTTAACAAAACATTGGTTGGAAAACCCATCACAAACATCTTCAGATAGGTGGAAGAATATAACAGATGAATTAAATAAAAAAAATTTATCAATGTGTGAAAATGAAATCATTCTTCAATATGCATATCCAAGGCTTGATAGAGCAGTATCAACAACCATTAGTCACTTATTGAAAAGTCCATTTTGTGTACATCCTAATACAGGTAAGATAGATAATTTATCATCATCATCATTATTATTACCATTACTAATTAATTAAGATGATATAAATATTTCATTTTATTAGGTAGAGTATGTGTTCCAATTTTACCAGAAACTTGTGATGATTTTGATCCATTAAGCTCACCAACAGTTAGCCTGTTGGTTGATGAATTGGAAAGAGCACATGCTATACATCCAGTTACAAAAGGTAATTAAATTAGAAATTATAAAGAAATAATATATTACATATTAATTTATTTTTTTTCCTTTTATTGAATTTTCAAAAGATTTTTATTCAAAAACATCTTTGAAATCTCATATAAAATATTTTAATGAATTTGTCAGACAACTTCCAAAAGAAGTTCATGGTAAAGTAAAGTGGTAATGATAATAAATATTAAATCTTATTTCTATTTATATAGTTTTTGCTAATTGCTTGTTATTTATTATTTTTTTGCATCAAGCAGCTTTTGAATTTTAATTTTTTTTATCAAATTAATTACATATAATATAACAAATCATTATTAATATCCCTATTTGCATAATATAATAAATCATTATTAATATCCCTATTTGCATAATAATAATGTTTGCACCATATATTGTGCAATGTTACACTGAAAATCACTTATATTCATATTTCCAGGGTTGGGAATTATACATGTAAAAAATTTTTAGTATAGTGCAAGTCACTTAGTCCCACAACTTTCTGTGCCATGCTTAGGGATGGGTTGGTTTTGCTAATAAACGGTTTGAACTCAGTTTTGAAACCAACTCCTGTTTTTTCTTTGGTTTGGTTTTTGGAACCATTCAAACCATTCAAACCAGTTACACATGATATGATCAAAATGTGACACAAATAGTTAAAAATATCATTAATTGCCGATCCGTGAATAAATGAGTGAATTTTGGATGGGATCAACGGGGCAAAAATGTCAAAAATTTGCTAATGGAAAATGTTTAACAAACAATAAAATATTATATTTTTGTATTACAAATATCATCTTTTCCACATATGGATAGAATAAATCCCATATTATATTAATATTAAAAAACCAAAAGAATTTATAGTGTTCCTCGAAGACTTTTATATACTGGACATAGAGATTTGGGTGTCATAAATATAGCAAATTCAAACACCATAAATTATACTGACTTGAATTATGGTTCTTACACATACATTCTCTCTTGTTTTTACAAACAATACACAATAATGAAATATTCAAATGTATTTAATAAACCCGAGGGGAATTGAGGATGTCAAAAAAAAAATTTTATTTTTATTATAAAAATTGG